ACGGGGATGAGGCGGGTGAAGCCCTGATCCTGAGTCTGCAGTGGGCAGCCCACCTTTGCCATGCACACAAATCCGGCGGGGCACATGCCGTCATGCCTCCCCAAGAGGTACACGCAGTGGTGTGGAGCCACTTGTGGCTCCGCCCCATTCCCAGGGTCGCATTTACTGCCCTGGCTGGGCAGCACTGCCCCTGCCCCACTTCCTCCCTCACTGTGGGGGCCTTAATCTGCCCCCCAGCCCCTTCTCCCAGCTGGACACTGCTGTCCAAGCTGCCCAGCTGCATTCCTGTAAATCGGCTATCAGATTGGTATTGGCTGATATGGATCAGTACCAGCCAAGAAAATCTTTACTGGTGCACCCCTAGAAATAAAACTGGACAGGAGGTATTTGACCATGTACCAGTTAAATCAAAAAATGAGTCCGTTAGTAGTAAGTCATTGAATCGGACTCTGGGCTGGTATAACTGCTAATTAGGAATGCAGGATTGGAAGGGACCTTCTGGGTCATTGAATTCTCTCCTAAAGGCTATCAAGTATTTTACTCCTTTACCACTCCTCCCCAGGAGAAGATTGTTCCAGAGCTTCAATGTTCTAATGGTTGAGAATGTTATTTCCAGCCTAAACTTAGTTATATTGATTTGCTCTTGTGTCAACATTAATCCTTTAGCTTAAATAGCTCTCCCTCCTCTGTGGTGTTTTCTCCCCCACAATGTATTGATAAACAGCAATCATATGCCCTTTGCCCTCTCATCCTTCATTTTGCTAAACTAGACAAGTCACACTGTTCTAAGTCCCTCCTTTCTTGTGCAAGGCTCCTCATTTCCCTAGTCATCCTAATAGTCCTATTTTGTACACGTTCCAGTTCAAATTAATCTTTTTTGAGCAAGAATGACCATTGTATATCCCTTAGTCAGGATGAGGCATCACTAGCACTTTGCATAGTAGCACTAACACTTCCTTATCTCTTCTGGCAATACTTTTCCTGCATGTTTCTCTTTTCACAGCTGCATTGCATTGACAGCTTATAGTCATTGTATGCAACTGATAGTGAGGACTGTTCGCGGGGGGAGTTTCTCCAGATTGATGAGCTCTGGGCTTATAGCTGAAGTTTTTAATTAATCCCCAACTGTAGGACTTTGTATTTTGCACTGTTGCAGTTCATTCCACTTTAACTTCAAAGTGGGGAGTTAAGCAAGGCTGTGTCATTGCGCCAACACTCTTCTCAATATTCCTTGCTGCAATGTTGCTTCTAATCACCAACATGCTTCCAGCTGGAGTGGAGCTAAACTACCAAATGGATGGTAAGCCATTTAAGCTCAGCCAACTCTGAGCCAAAACGAAGACCACCCTAACCTCAGTCACTGAGCTGTAGTATGCTGATGATGCTGTACTGTATCCTCACTCAGAAGAAGACCTTCAGGCCATTGTCAACATCTTTACCAAGGGTACAAGAAAACGGGACTGATGCTTAACATTCAGAAGACGAAGGTCCTCCACCAACCAGCTCCTAATGAACAGTCCCGAGCTCCGGTAATCCTGATTCATGGTTAGACTCTGGAGAACATTGAGTATTTACCATACCTCGGAAGCCACCTTTCACAGAAGGCTTACATCACTGAAGAAATCCAGCATTGCCTTAAATGTACAAATGCAGCCTTTGGACACCCGAAGAAATATGTTTCTGAAGATGATGACATCAGATCCGAAACCAAGCTCATGGTTTATCAAGCAATTGTGATCCCCACCTTGCTGTATGGAGCTGAGACATGGACAATGTACAGGTAACATCTAAAGTTGTTGAAGACGTACCATCAACGCTGCCTGCAGAAGATCCTCCAAATCTAGTAGGAAGACAAACAATGTTAGTGTCCTCCTGCAAGCAAGCACCGTGAGTATAGAGGCAATGATCATCCAACATCAATTTCATTGGGCCAGCTGTGTCATCTGGATGTCCGACTCCTGAAGCAAGTTTTATTCTCAGATGGCAGAGAAAGCACTTCAGGGATGTCCTCAAGGCCAGCTTAAAAAAAATGCAACATCTATGTCAACTTGTGGGAGACTATAGCCCAGGACTGCCCCAAATGGAGGAAGAGCCTGCTGCAGGGATCTCAGTACTTTTTTACATCTCCTGTTGTGAGGTTTCAGTGGGAGCAGCAGAAATAGTGTTTTGCGGACCAAATCAAGACTCCAGCACCACCCATCTCACATGGAAACACATGTCCAAGCTGCAGTAGAGTCTGTCAATCCCGGATAGGCCTCATCAACCATCTTCGGACACACGGATAAGACAATCCATGGAAGACAGTCGTCCTCAACTGTGAGGGATTGCCACAGAAGAATACTTTTAGTCCTGAAGGGAATGGCTATTGTGATTGGTCTTTGTACTTTTACTGGGTCACTCCCTAGATCCAGGGGACTGATGGTAATAATGATGATTCTTTAGTGTTACTGAATTCTTCCTACATGATGTTTTGGTCCATCTATTTATCAACGGTCCCTCCTAACATTTTGGTTTTCAGATGTCATCAGTATACTTCTATTTCTTGAGCTGAAGTTGTTAATAACGTTAAACAAAATTGGTCCTAAAACTTGTCTGTGAGGAACTCTCTAGTAACTTCCCTCCTGCCTGATATTTTCCTTCTCAGCACTTCTGCTTTATAGTTCCTTTAGTAATCCCCATCTCTCTAGTTTCACTGGTTTCCCAGGTGGCACTTTATCAAATGCTTTACTGCATTTCATCACCTTTGTCTAAAAAAAAAAAAGTTATCAAAGAGAGCTATTGGGATAGTGTGGCACAAACTACCTTTGGAAAACTTTCATTTTGCCCCATTTCTTGCACCCTGCATTTGTCAGTATTATTGAGGTCAGAGCAGTAAGCTTCTGATCCTTGCCTCCTCCCATTTTTAACTATAAGTATGCTGTTTTCCAGTGATATGGTACCACTCCTAGCTTCATATATGTATTAAATTGTTGCTAGACCTGTTCTCATCTGAAAACCTGGATTGTCTCTTTCTAAGGTTGGAAATGGTGAGTTTCCCCTTGCAGGCTGGCAGAGTTCCAGCCTGCAAGGGCCTGGGGAAAGCAGGAGGAAGGCAGTCAGCGTGGGGTGCCATAGGCATGTATGCATGCACACATGCACATGGCCACCAGGCAACCTTGAGTGCAGGTCCCGCAGGTAAATCCAGCTAGCGGGGGAGGTGGGGTGGGAATGGAGGCCCCCATAGTGAGGGAGGAAGGGAGTCGGGCAGGGCTAGGGCTGGGGCTGGGGCCCAAGGCAGGAAT